TTAAACAGTATATTAGGGTTGCCGTTAAGGGGCCAGGTAAGAATTTTCCCCCCTCTTATGCGCTAGGAGTGGGGGTTGCCTACCGTATACTATTACAGGGTAAATTCGGATGGTGTGTAATTAAATAGGTGGTCACGGTAAACAGTTAAGAAAAGCTAAAATTTAGTGTACGCCCAAGGCATCCCCTTCAGGGGTGAAGGCCATTAACTAAAACACTCACCTAAGGTTCAATTTGATGAGATGAGGGGAATTCTAATGGCCTAAAAATGGGGAGAGTCGGGTCTCAGATACTGTGAGAGGGACTTCTCGGACACATTTCCCTTAGAGGTTGCCCGGATTAGGTTCCATGGGGACCCGGGTGTTTCGCCCTAATGAGCCGAGGGGTAGGCCGGGCAGGGACACTACTTCGGCTTTGCCACCAAGTTCAAGATTCATAGGTTTAGAACCAGAGTACAGTTTAATAGGTAACAAGTAATAAAAGTTGCCCATATTTAAACCCAAATGCTGGTGTGTGGTCTCGTTATTTCGGGGGATGGCAGGCAAATATGTATACGTAGAGAGAAATATGTAGACATAGAGGGAAATACGTTCGGACAGGTAAGCTGGGCCAGAGCCGATATTCGAGAGACTCCCGAAAATGGATCTGGGTACCCAACAAAATTCAGATAGCAGAAACAGATTGCTCTCCAGCCGAATTGCACAAACCTACTTTAAATAAGGGGTGGTGTTACCATTTCCTAATCAATAGGAAGAGATCCCCTTAAGATCCTTGATGCCCTTGCTCTACAAGTATTTTGATTTTTTAAAAGCTACAGGTTGACTTGGTAATAAAAAATCAAAACAGTTAAGAAACAAGGGCATCAAGGATCTTAAGCTACTGTGTAGTTATTTTCTTTTGAATGCAGAAAAGTGGGCGCTAGATTAAGTCAGCCCACGATTGTGGTTATGACGGTGACCAGCCAAACTTGTTCATGCCAGGTTCGGCTTTCTCTTTGATCATCAAAACCTCTCCAGGTGTATATCTATCATGGGATCTGGGTGGAAAGGAGGACTATAATGCCACCCTACAATTTGACAAGGAAGGGGGAGAGAGAGAGAGAGAGCACAGTTGGAATCTTTCTGCAAGCATACAACACTGCCACCTTTGGGCAGATATTGGAAACTGACTTATTTGAAAAAAATACTCTGGTATGGGTCTCCTTCACAATTCCATAACCCTAGCTCCCTGGCTCGACTTTAACAGCCATGAACATAACTTGTGGGATCCTGGGATTGTGATTTGGGGAGACATTCGATTTCCCTGAAAGATACTGCATACCACTAGCAATTCCTTAGATTTCACCCAATTTTGTGTGTTTTTGATTGCGTTTCCCATTCAATTTACTGGGAAATGCCCAAAATTAGAAGGGGGATTCCGGTAAGATCCGGTCCATTAGTGTCAATGGTTCCTTCATAATTTTGATGCCTATCGGCATGAAACTTGCCTCACTTGAAGGCCACATTTACGACTGTCTGCCAAGTTTCTGAATGTTTCACCAATCCACTTATTTTTGGGAAATGGTTAAAGTTTTAACCATAACATTTTTTTAAAAAAACCTACAAGAGGAGAAGCCAGTTTTAAACCAGATAGGGAAGGAATTTCCTGGCCTCGGCTCAAGCCAGAGAAACCCTTTTTAAAGCCGGAGAAACCAGTTTTAAACCAAAGAAGGACGGAATTTTCTGGCCTCGGCTCAAGCCAGAGAAGCCAGTTTTAAAGGGGGAGAAGCCAGTTTTAAACCAAAGAAGGAAGGAATTTCCTCTGCTTGCTTTTCCCCGCTTCTGGTCTCTGGCCTCAGCTCAAGCCAGAGAAGCCAGTTTTAAACCAGAGAAGGAAGGAATTTCCTGGCCTCAGCTCAAGCCAGGGAAGCCAGTTTTAAAGCCAGAGAAGCCAGTTTTAAAGCCGGAGAAGCCAGTTTTAAACCAAAGGAGAAAGGAATTTCCTGGCCTCGGCTCAAGCCAGAGAAGCCAGTTTTAAAGGGGGAGAAGCCAGTTTTAAACCAAAGAAGGAAGGAATTTCCTCCGCTTGCTTCTGGTCCCTGGCTTCAGCTCAAGCCAGAGAAGCTAGTTTTAAACCAGAGAAGGAAGGAATTTCCTGGCCTTGGCTCAAGCCAGAGAAGCCAGTTTTAAAGCCAGAGAAGCCAGTTTTAAACCAAAGAAGGAAGGAATTTCCTGGCCTTGGCTCAAGCCAGAGAAGTCTGTTTTAAAGCCAGAGAAGCCAGTTTTAAACCAGAGAAGCAAGGAATTTCCTCTGCTTGCTTTTCCCCACTTCTGGTCCCTGGCTTCAGCTCAAGCCAGAGAAGCCAGTTTTAAACCAGAGAAGGAAGGAATTTCCTGGCCTCGGTTCAAGCCAGAGAAGGCAGTTTTAAAGCCGGAGAAGCCAGTTTTAAAGCCAGAGAAGCCAGTTTTAAACCAGAGAAGGAAGGAATTTCCTCCGCTTGCTTTTCCCCGCTTCTGGAATAAAACAACTACTTTCAAACTAAATGTCACCCAATGAAACAGGAAATAACACTTTCAAACCATTCCACATTTGTTTCATTTGCTAAGTTAGCCACCTTTCAGTGATGCCCAACAACTCTAGTTAGAGATTGGATTGGAGGATGTTTTGGGTCTCTTCCAACTCTATGGTTCTTGGGTACTCATAAGTCCATATGCCAGCCAAGTATTTATCAGGTCTTCCATGTGTTACTCCATTTTTTTCACCTGTGCTGCTTCAGCATTTCTGGATTTCAACAGGGTTTTAAAGCATGCCCAACCCCCTAGTAAATGCTTACTCCCTGCATTATGATTGTGGCTATGGATTTATAGGCTACTGCTGAGTATTACTTCTGTAAGGATTTAAGATGTTGGTTGGGTTGCATCACACAATCATCGGCTAAAGTAGGTCACCGAGATGGATCGGTAGATCCTTCATTGTGTAGTAAGCTCAGCATTTTGCTTCTTGACACAAATCAATAGATGGATTGGAGTTGGTGGGTCTCGTTCAGAAATAGATTTTGCCAACTTATAGTAAACTAGCTTAGGCACCTAGCTCAGGTTAGGTATTTTATAATGTTATTGTTTAGAAATAGTCATTTTTTTGTTTTTGGATTTTATGAATAGTCCCATTAGAAATACATGTGACTCTCCAGATGTAGGATATACATGAACCTTCGACTGTGGGTGGGGACTAACGCTCCCATCATCCTTGGTCAATCCCCCTGGAAGATGACCAGTATTCGAAGTTGTTAACGATAGGTATGTGTGCCAATTTGAGGCCGGATCCATCATTGGTGGCATTCACATGGGTCTTCTGATGTGGGTGGACTACAACTCCCACCTCCCTCTGTCTATGATGAGTCTGTGTGTCAAGTTTGGTCAAGATCCATCGTCGGTGAGATTCACATGGCTTTGGGGATGTGGGTGGACTACAACCCCCACCACCCTCTGTAAATCCTCCCCACATCACACCAGTATTTTAAGTTGGTCATGATGAGTCTGAATGCCAAATTTGGTCAAGATCCATCATCGATGAGATTCACATGGCTTTGGGGATGTGGGTGGACTACAACCCTCACCACCCTCTGTAAATCCTCCCCAAATCACACCAGTATTTTAAGTTGGTCATGATGAGTCTGAATGCCAAGTTTGGTCAAGATCCATCATCGGTGAGATTCACATGGATTTGGGGATGTGGGTGGACTACAACCCCCATCACCCTCTGTAAATCCTCCCCAAATCACACCAGTTTTTAAGTTGGTCATGATGAGTCTGAATGCCAAGTTTAGTCAAGATCAATTGTTGGTGAGTTTCACATGGCTTTGGGGATGCGGGTGGACTACAACCCCCACCACACTCTGTAAATCCCAAATCACACCAGTATTTTAAGTTGGTCATGATGAGTCTGTGTGCCAAGTTTGGTCAAGATCCATCATCTGTGAGATTCACATGGCTTTGGGGATGTGGGTGGACTACAATCCCCACCACCCTCTGTAAATCCTCCCCAAATCACACTAGTATTTTAAGTTGGTCATGATGAGTCTGAATGCCAACTTTGGTCAAGATCCATAGTCAATGAGATTCACATGGCTTTGGGGATGTGGGTGGACTACAACCCCCATCACCCTCTGTCAATGCTCCCCAAACCCTATAGAGGTAGAACCTTATAAAATATGATAATGACTCCTTATTGTATCCATTGATTTCTCTTGTATCCTGCCTTTGCTGAAATGACTCCCAAACTTTAGACCCCCCAGATGTTTTAGACTTCTTCTCCAAGAAGTTCTAGGGAAGATCAAGATGTTCTAGAGCGGTTCCAAGATGGAACAGACCCAACTGTTAACATGGGTTGCTCTGATTCCTGGGCCGGAATTTGGACTATCCCACAACTTTGGTTATTGGGGAACAAGACTATATTAAGGTGGACTTGCATTGCTTTTTCATGGATCAGTGAGGAGATGAAGTCCAAAACATTTGGAGAATTGAAGTTTGGGAGACATGGTCCAAAATCACCTCCCAAGCTGGACAGATGAGTACACATAGATGTGTATAGGTTGTCGTTTTTGTGGAACATGAGATCGTTCAGTTGACTTTGCCAAAGTCTCCAAACCTGATTTTTTGGTGGGTTGGTTCAAATTCCTATTTATCTTGGAAACCCGTTGGAGAACTTTAGGAGAATTAGATGCTATGGAATTCTGTCTTGTGTTTCCAATATCGTCCTGGTATTTTAGGAATTTTGGTCAATGTAAAAGGCAGTCACTTGCTTTCTTTCCAAAGATACGTTGCAAGAATTCTTGCAAAGGAAATCACGTCAACAGCCGTGCCCAGACTTGTCTTCAAAGCTAGGGAAGCTGTTGACGGTATCCTATAAAATGACTTTTTTCTGCCTTCCAAAATCAAAGGCGCCTTTCTGGGGATGGCCAAGCAGGTGTTTATCTTTTATAGCAGGTGTGTGCAATGATCCAAAATGAAACCCAAGCCACTGACAGAGACCCAAAAAAAGAAACGATGCTCCAGGTCTTTTCCTAATTATTGCCTCCACTTCGCCCAGGTTGCCTCCCGTTGGTGCCTGAGATGGGCAAGGAACCATATATATATATAAAACTTCCCCCTCCTTTGCATTGTTCTGGCAGATACGCTTGAGAAGGCTTCCATAGACAACAAGGTAAGAGGTTGGGAAGCTTGTAAAGTTTTAGATATTCTCTATATGAGGAAAAACTTCACCTAATGTGGAAGGATCCTCTAGGCTTGGGTAACCACGGAAAAATTTGGTTCTAAACTCGTTTCGTTTTTAGGGGGCCCTTGCGTTTCGTTTTTTTAATAATTCCGAAATTTTCCTTTAAAAAATTTCGAAATTTATGAAATTTCGTAAAATTACGAATCGATGGCGGGAACTTCTGAAGCTTCCCTCTCCCTCTGTTGTTGACTGTTGGTGTGATAAAACAAACAACAACTATAAAACTTGCACCAGACATGCGAAAATAATTACGAAATAATTACGAAATAATTTCAAAACAATTACGAAATAAATTCGAATTAATAACGAATTACGAAATTAACGAACGAAACCGCCCAAGCCTAGGATCCTCAACTGGAAACTAGGGTCAGATCTCAAAATTACCTTAACAGATTGGAGAGTTGGGTGAAAAATAACAAAATTAATTTCAATAGGGAACTGAAATAAAATTCCAAAATATAGACTGGTGACACCTGATTTGGGGCGTTGGAGTCTTAGTAGACCACAAGCTGAACACGAAACAACCGTGTGATGTGGCAACTGAAAAAGCCAATGCAATTCTAGGCTGAATATTAGGCTTGTGCATTCAGAGTAAACCTTGACCCGTTTCGTGTTCCAGCTTTTGGTGTGAGCCCTGCTCCATTTTTTTTTTTGGGAGGGCAGATATCTGTTTTTGCTCTGGGGTGCCAAAAGATCCATTTTCTATTGGCCCATGATGGAGGGGGTGGGCTTCCCAGGCTCCCCTTCCCATCATTTTAGGCATTTAAGCTATTGTACTCTAGAGAAGTGCTCAGCTGTAGGCACACTTTAAGGAGGCTTCTTACCTGTTTCTACTCTAGAGGAGAAGTGCTCAGCTAGGCTTGGGTGATCAAGAAAACATTTGGTTCTAAACTCGTTTCATATCTAGGGAGCTCCCGCGTTTCTAATCTGATAGGATTTCCGAAATTTCCAATTTTAAAATTTCGATGTTTATGAAATTTCGTAAATATACGAATTGATTTGTTAATGGCGGACACGATTGCGCGATAGCGCAATACGCGAAAAAAAACCTCCAAACGGGACAGTGGGAACTTCTGAAGCTTCCCTCTCCTTCTGTTGTTGACTGTTGGTGATAAAACTAACAACTAACCAAAACCAAACTCCAGTCTTTAAAACGCTTTAAAATGGCTTGTCTTCACCCAGCTAAACGTCTTCTTCCTGGCCCAACAGTTTAAAACTATTATTATTATTATTATTATTATTATTATTATTATTATTATCATTATCATTATTATTATTATTAAGAATGGATGGCCATCTGTCCGGGGTGCTTTAATTTGATATTCCCTACATGAAGGCAGAAGGGGATTTATTATTATTATTATTATTATTATTATTATTATTATTATTATTGAGAAGCATTGTCAAACCGGAATAGAGAATTCCCCCCTCCTCTCCCTCTCTCCTCTCTCCTTCTCAGAGGTTAAAACTATTATTATTATTATTATTATTATTATTATTATTATTATTATTATTGAGAAGCATTGTCAAACCGGAATAGAGAATTCCCCCCTCCTCTCCCTCTCTCCTCTCTCCTTCTCAGAGGTTAAAACTATTATTATTATTATTATTATGATGATGATGAATGGATGGCCATTTGTCAGGGGTGCTTTAATTGTGCACTCCCTGCATGAAGGCAGAAGGGGGGTTGTGATTATTAAAATTATTATTATTATTATTATTATTATTATTATTATTATTATTGAGAAGCATCTTCAAACCGGAATAGAGAATTCCCCCCTCCTCTCTCTCTCCCTCCTATCTCCTTCTCCAAGGTTATAACTATTATTATTATTATTATTATTATTATTATTATTATTATTATTATTATTATAGGAGAGAGAGATAGGAGAGATATTCCGGTTTGAAGATGCTTCTCAATAATAATAATAATAATTTTTTTATTGATATTTTTTCATAAATTTTACATTGCATATAAAAAAACAGGGGGGGGAAGGGTCAAAGGGGAGGGGTATGGGTTTTCATATGGGAAGAGCAAGGGAGGGGGTCGAGGTAGAGGAGGGGGGTAAGGAATATGGGAAGGGGAGGTCAGGGGAAGTGACCGGAAGAGAAGAAAGTGTGAATTAAAAGAAAAAAGAAACGTTGACTTCCCAAGCACCCTCTAGTCACTGATTTTCATATTTCTTCGGTTTCTTCTGTTTCTCTGATGTCTCTTCTTATAAGGTCTCTATTTAATTTAGGCCTGTTTGATCAAGAAAAAATTTGTTTCTAAAATCGATTTGTAATTGGGGTATTTTTTTGTTTCGATATTTAAAATAATTACAAAACTTTCCCCCAAAAAAGTTTTGGTATTTAAGAAATTTTGTAAATATTAACGAATTTTTAGAATATTTTTGTATTTCTTAAGAATAATATTAAAATAATATTAAAAAATATTTTAAAATGGAAAATTAACCAAAAAATGGCCCAAATGTGGACCAAACACAGGCAGGATACAGCAAATGAGAGCACACACCAACAGAAGAGTCTTTTCTTTTTTAGAATATTTTTTTAAGAATAATATTAAAAAATAATATTAAAAAATAATATTAAAAATAATATTAAAATAATATTTAAAATAATATTAAAAAATATTTTAAAATGGAAAATTAACCAAAAAATGGCCCAAATGTGGACCAAACACAGGCAGGATACAGCAAATGAGAGCACACACCAACAGAAGAGTCTTTTCTTTTTTAGAATATTTTTTAAAAATAATATTAAAATAATATAAAAAATAATATTAAAATAATATTAAAAATATTTTAAAATGGAAAATTAACCAAAAAATGGCCCAAATGTGGACCAAACACAGGCAGGATACAGCAAATGAGAGCACACACCAACAGAAGAGTCTTTTCTTTTTTAGAATATTTTTTAAGAATAATATTAAAAAATAATATTAAAAAATAATATTAAAAAATATATTAAAAATATTTTAAAATGAAAAATTAACCAAAAAATGGCCCAAATGTGGACCAAACACAGGCAAGAGACAGCAAATGAAGCAAGCAGCACTCACAGCAGCAAGGAATGAATCCAATCCGAGTTGCTAGCAGCCATTGCCAAGCCAACCCAATGCAAACTCCCTCGCCCTCTTGAAGCTACGGGCCGCGCGGAGCCGCTTTGAAAGGGCTCGCCGGCCAATCAAAAACAGGCAGCCACGGACCCATGGTGGTGCACTGTTTGGGAGCGCCGGATTGGCTCCCATGCACCAGCACTCCAGCAGCCTCCACCCCATTAACGAAACGAGCGGAGGCTCGTTAAAACTATGGGGGCTGCTGGTTCGATATTTAAAAACCCTTCCGGGTTTGGAAATATGTTTCGATATCGCCTCGGAAATGGTAAAATTAACGAATTATTAACGAATTAACGAATTAACGAACGAAACCGCACAGGCCTACTCAGTAGCATTTGGTAATATAATTCTATTCTAGTACTAAATCTTTATGTATTTTAACTATGACTCGATTTACACTGCCATATAATCCAGTTCAATGAAGTTAAACTGCATTCTGAAGCTGCACTATGTGGCAATGTAGATCCATCTTGTGTCGCATTTGTTTTTATTCATAAACCTGTTTCAGCTTTGGAGCAAATGAACTAGTGGATATTAGGCTTGGGTGATAAAAAAAAAGGTTCAAAACTCGTTTTGGATGTAGGGGGTGCTGGCGATTCGATTTTGAAATTATTTCCAAAATTTTCTTGAAAAAAAGATCGGAAATATCAGGAAATGTGAATCGCTTCGTTTGCTTCGTTAATGGAAGGTGCCCCTCCCTCCCTCCAGAACCATTAAAATCTCGCAGTTTCCCTTCCTTCCCTTGCGGCAAGCTGTGATGCAGAGGGACGGGGTGGGCGTGGCTAAGCACAGCTCTTCTTGAAGGCCACGCCCCCAGCAGCCTTCAGGAAGAGCTGTGCTTAGCCACGCCCACCTCGTCCCTCTTTGCATCGCCGGTTGTGCAAAGCCACATCCGAAAATAATTCCGAACAATGGGGAAGTTGTTTCAGTTCAGAATTGCTCCTCCCACTATTCCTGCATGGCTCGAAATTGGATCAAAAGGTAATTTAATCCGAAGTAATCACTATTTTAGAAACCACTTGGATAAATTCAAATTGTTAATAGACTCACATGGGGTCATTGTTCACCATGTATTCCTTCATATGAGGACTCTTCTTATCAAGGTGCTTAACACATGGTTGATGATTTCCAAATATGATTTCCATCCCTAATAAATGATGGTGATGATGTTTCTGTACTCCTCATTGTTTCGTTCCAGGACTTCCTGCTCCCATGGCGATGACCAATGGCAACTATCAATGCTGGCCCCAGAATTTTCCACCTCAAGGACCTCAGTTTGGCTCAGGTCCGCAGTGTGGTCCAGGTCCCCAGTATGGTCCAGGTCCCCAGTGTGGTCCAGGTCCCCAGTGTGGCCCAGGTCTCCAGTGTGGTCCAGGTCCCCAGTGTGGCCCAGGTCTCCAGTGTAGCCCGGGTCTCCAGTGTGGCCCAGGTCCCCAGTATGGCATGATGAAGCCCCCACCATCATTCATGAACATGAACCAGCCACCATTCATGAACATGAACCAACCCGCCAACTTCTCGGAGCCCTACAAAATGAATTTTTGCAACATGCAGGGCGGTATGTCATGCATCCCATGTGGCCCGGCCCCTTGTGATAGCAAACTCGTTGAGTCCAGTGATGCCAAGAGCACTGAGAAACACGCATCGTCATGTGACACCTCAGGCCACGAATCTTGCACCATGAAAAATTCATCGCAGCCCACCGATAGGTGTAGCTCCCAACGTCCCCCTTGTCCCTCTATGCCGGGTATGTCCTTATGCTCTCCATCATGTGGTCCAAACATGGGGAGGCCACACGGTTTCCCCAGCTCTTCCCAGTGCTTTCCGCCACGCAATATGTACCAGTACACAACCTCCAAGACCTTCAAGTCGTGCTATGCCAAGTAGAAGTTGGAACCAGAAAAGAACAAGATCTTGAAATAAAATTATTTGGAAGAACCTCGCAGTGTTCGAGTCTACCATACCAATTTGGGTTGCATGAGGGATCGGGCTATTTTGGAACTTTCTCTTTTGATTGGCTTATAAAACAAAATCCCTACAAATTGAAAGCCTGTGAACGAAGGCGAGCGGTCCAGAGGTGACCTGTTCCTACTCTGCTAGTTGTCCACTTGTGTCTTCAAAGAGTAGGAAGCTCTTTTGGACCCTTTAATGAAAACTTGCAATACATTCACTGTTCTTCTGATATGGGGTGCATCTTCACTGTGACTTGTGGAATCCAGGGATTTGTAGTTTGGGTGGTCTCTGGCAGAGAACACTTGATCCTGCATAGAGTGAGAAATCCTGGGATTCCATCATAGCTGTTAAAGCAGTCATTAAGACATCTGTACTGTAGATTTAACATAGTTTGACCCTACTTTCAAGGCTATGGGATCCTAGGAGATGTAGTTTGCCGAAGCACTAGCACTCTTTGGCAGAGACAGCCTTGTAAAATTACAGCTCCCAGGAGTCCATTGTATTGAGTTCTTATAATGAAAGTGGATGTCATACTACTTTGATTCCACAGTATAGATGCACCCCTTGAGGGACAACATGTTTGCAGATGATATTATGTCATTTGTCGGTAATCCTGTTTCAAAGAGTTCTTGGTGTTCTTGTAAGTGTGTTTTCCCTCTATCTTATGGATGTCTTTGCTTCAGGTTCATCTAGGTCATAACAAACAATCTGTAGAAGGAGTAGGCAGCTGGGCAGGTATCGGCTGAGATGATCCACAAGGGAGGAAACCGCTGAGAGCTGATATTAAGACAATTATTGTAAGGAAAACCCTAAGGATAGTTGATCCACCACCCCTTTGTATTCAAGTCTTCCTTCTCAGCTTGCAAATCTCAGCCTACATTGTTTCCTTTCAAGTGTGTTTACCCCAAATTCCTATGGAGATGCCTCACCCCCACCGCCGCCCAAAGCTCTGGAGATGAGGCCTCCTCAGAAAATTCCCGAGGTTGGCTCTACCCAAAGATTTCTTCATCCTCTCCAGCATGTCTTTTAGAAGGCATGGATGGTTTCCACCAGGCCATAAAGCTGAATCATTCCCAGTGCATAAAAATGGGAAAGTATATCCTCGGTTCAATGACACCATTTGTTGTTGACCTCACATTTTGTCAACGTTTCCAACACTTGAATCTCTCTCTCTCTCTCTTTCTCATGTTCTTTGCCACAAAACCAAGTTGTGGGTTAAGTAACCATTGGGATTATTCCTCTCCATTTTTGACATATGTTGCCTGGACCAAACCATAACCTATGGTGATGTTTCCCTCTCAGGACAAGATCCTGGATGGTGTAGTAGATCTTTGGGTGGGACTATGTTACATCTCTTCTCCTGAAAGTTTCCCCAGGTTCACAATATAGCTATAGTAGTCTCCTTGGCTATTGAGTTCCTGGTGGAGTGGAGTGATGGATGAGTGTTTGGTTCTGTTCCAGACCAACAGGCTCATATATTGAGATATTATTATTATCATTATTATTATTATTATTATTATTTTACTGACACAAAGGCACAGTATGTCACAGCAAACGAAATCTATATGCTGGATTTCTTATCACAAAATCACAAGTTGAACATCATCATCATCATCATCAATAATAATAATAATAATAATAATAATAATAATAATAATAATAATAATTTTATTACTTATCTGCCTCTTCTTATGGCTTGAGGAAGGTTACAAAAACAATTAAAATACATAAACGCAGCAAAAACATTGCAAATACACACACTAAAATGTACCCCCATAAAAGTTACATAACAAAACATATCTTTATGAAATACATATTAAAACAGACAAAACAGAGATTAAACAAAGGACATGCCTTAACATCCATGTTTATGTTTAAAGACTCTCTGGGTAGGCCTGCCAGAAGAGACAGGTCTTCACTTGTGTCTTAAATTCTGACAGCTGATTTAGCTGTTGGAGTTCTTCTGGCAGTCGTTCCACGGCTTTGGGGTGGCCAATGAAAAGGTCCTCTGGGTGGTGTCTGCCAATCAGCTTCTGGTTGGTTGGAGCAGACACCCCCAAGAGGACCAAAGTGGGGTGGATTGTATGGGAATAGGCCAGAAGAGGCTGATCTTCACTTGTATCTTAAATTCTGACAACTGATTTAGTTGTTAGAGATCTTTTGGAAGGTCGTTCCACAGCCTTGGGGTGGCCAATGAAGAGGTCCACTGGGTGGTGTCTGCCAATCAGCTTCTGGCTGGTTGGAGCAGACACCCCCCCCCCCAGAGGACCAAAGTGGGGTGGATTGTATGGGAAAAGGCCAGAAAAGCCAGATCTTTACTTGTGTCTTAAATTCTGACAGCTGATTTAGTTGTTGGGGCTCTTCTGGCAGGTCGTTCCACAGCTTAGGGGCAGCCAATGAAAAGATCCTCTAGGTGGTGACTGCCAGTCAGTTTCTGGCTGGTTGGAGCAGATACCCGCCAGAGGACCAAAGTGGGGTGGATTGTATGGCTTTCAAGGTCACCATCACCTTATACTTTGCCCAGAAATTAATTGGCAGCCAATGACATGATTTTAGGATAGGTGTAATATGCTCACTCCTAGATGTTCCTGTAACTAATCTGGTGCCATATTTTGAACCAGTTGGAGTTTCCAAACTTTGTACAAGGGTCTTCCAAGGTCCTCTTGAAGTCTCAGCAGATGGTGCCATCAGTCCCTGCCTGGCTACAGAGATATAGCAAAAGTTTTCTCCAATCCCTTCCACTCTCGACCAATCATTGAATGGCCATGGGCAGTTCAAAACATCCCTCATAGTCCGAGGATGTTGGTCCTCCAATTGTAGTGTCTTGGTGGTGGGTCCATAGATGGTTGTGGAGCCCTATTCTTGATTTGCATGTCCTCCCACAGTGAGGACATTGGTTTCCAGATGGAAGGCAGTCCCGGTCAGGGTTGGCTTGACACGCCTTCCTCTTGGCATATTTCTCCCTTTAGCCCTCTATCGGTGCCTCTTCGAATTCTGCAGCACTGCTGGTCACAGCTGACCAACAGTTAGAATGGTAATGGGCCAGAGCTCCTCCGTGTCTATGCCACAGTTTTTAAGGTTGGCTTTAAGCCCATCTGTAAATTTCTTTTCCTTTATACCTATATTACGTTTCTTGAGTTGAAGACCAATATTAAGATAGAATGAAACTATTCATGGCATTAGGACAATATAAATAATATAAATAAAAGTATAAGAGCAATCTACAGTGCAGTTCAATTAATACATAATTCTCCTAAAAGGCTATTTAAAACCCTCCAGCTCTCAAAGGGACTTATTTAAGGTTGAGCAGCGCCTCCTTGTGGTGAACCTCAGTTCTAACAGTTTTTCCAACTCATTGAAATGATTTTATGGTTATAGTGGTGGTGGTGGTGAGGTGGAGATCCCTGCTTTTATACAAGCATCACAGGGCAGATTGCAATAAAGTCAACTTAAAATAACAGATAATGACCACTGTGCATATGATTAAAATATATAAATTAATAAATGGAGAAACAGAGGCCAAGCAACCACATCCAGTCATAAAATTGCCCTCCCTCAAGCCTCAAGGAGAGGCGGGTAAGAAATTATTATTATTATTATTATTATTATTATTATTATTATTATTATTAATAATAATAATAATAATAATAATAATAATAATATTATTATTATTGGTTACAACATAACTATTATTATTATTATGGGTTACAATATAACTATTATTATTATTATTATTATTATTATTATTATTATTATTATTGGAAAAACAAGTCTCAATACCTGCTGTGGTCTGTTAAGAGCAGTAGGCATTACATATTTATGTGTACATTAGTGGTTCCCAACCTTTTTTTTGGCCAGGGACCACTCGAACGGGGACCACTTTGACCAGGGACCACTCTCCAACATCTTCAGTGTTCTTCATGACCTTCTCCTTCCTTGACCCTTAACTCAAGAACACTACTGATTAAATATGCAACATTCTCACATAACAAAGACTACATGGTTGATTCCACTTTTCCCTGTAAGTTTGAGCAGGATGTATAGAAAATAAAGGAAGTGGGCTGGCTTTGTTATTCTCAAAGTTCCAGGAGTAAGGGACAGCAAGGAACAATGGGTGGAGTCATTTTGAGGAGTCACTAAGACAGTGGTTCCCAACCTTTGTGTGACCAGGAACCACTTGACCAGGGACCACTTTGACCAGGAACCACTTGACCAGGGAACACTTGACCAGGAACCACTTGACCAGGGACCACTTAACCAGGGACCACTTTGACCAGTAAACACTTGACCAGGGACCACTTTGACCAAGAACCACTTGACCAGGGACCACTTGACCAGGAACCATTTGACCAGGGACCACTTAACCAGGGACCACTTTGACCAGGAAACACTTGACCAGGGACTACTTAACCAGGGACCACTATGACCAGGGACCACTTGACCAGGGACCACTTTGACCAGGAACCACTTGACCAGGGACCACTTAACCAGGGACCACTTTGACCAGGAACCACTTGAACGGGGACCACTTTGACCAGGAACCACTTGACCAGGGACGACTTTCACCAGGAATCACTTGATCAGGAACCACTTTGACCAGGAACCACTTGACCAGGAACCACTTTGACCAGGAACTACTTTGACCAGGAACCACGTTGACCAGGGACCACTTTGACCAGGGACCACTCTCCAATATTAGTACCAAAAGGGTTACGAATCAGGTTTTGGTCAACTTTAGATTCAGTTTGGTTATTTGTGGAGCTGATTCAGAAAACTGCATTGGATAGACCACATCAGCTCTAGTTTCTGATCTAGAACCTATGCCATCCAGTAGTGACCATCTGCTCGCCCACAGAAAACTATATTTAATAGGCCTCGGCGCTACAACAGGATTTCACGAGACCATAGTTACTACAACGATGTAGTAACGATGAGGCCACAGACCATATTTTAGTTCTTGCAGACCACTGGTGGTC